AAAGAAAAACAAAGAAAAAGGGGGGGGGGGGGGGGGGGGGGGAAGAGAGGTAGATACATTTGTTCTGCACTGATTTTTAGAAAAAATAAAATATTTTTCCTTATTAAAAATGTTCTGGTTACAGATTTACTTTCTTTGATCAATATTTATTACTGTTTCATTTGCCTTGAAATGGGAACAACACACACTTTGAAAGGTTCTCTGATTTCAGTTTTAGGTTCTGTAAGTACCTTTCTTGATGAAATTCTATTTTATAATTTTTCCACAGGACTGTGTCTCAGCCGATCATAGTAAATATTCTTATGACTCCCATATACATCAAGGAACTTTTTTTTTCCTATTCCACAAGGGATAGAAGAGCATGAATACTTTATAAAACATAATATAGAGACAAAATGGGAGAGGTAATATCTTCTTTTGGACCAAATTCTGTTGGTTTCAGTCAGGTTTCAAGCTTACATAGAGCCTAGACATGAAGAAGAACATTGTATAAATTTGAAAACTTGTTTCTCACTAGCAGTAGTTGGTTCAGTAAAAGATATGACCTTACACACCTTGTCTATCTAATATCCTGGGACCAACATGAGTAAGACATAATAGGCAAGAACCGTAGGCTTCTTTACTAACAAGATTTCAATAGACCAGGTACTTAGAGCAAAAAGGAGAAAAGCTCAGAAAAGAGGATTTGCTTAAATATAGTGGCAAGCAGAATACAAATATGCTTCCTTTACTTACTACTGTAAACAAGTTATGGTCATGATCAAGAATTCAGGGAGGGTCCAATCCTGTTGGCCTAATTCAGGCAAACCTCTAGTTGGCTTCAGTGTGAGTTTTGCCTTTGCCTATTCATTTACTGTGGGAGCAGACCAACAAGGACACTTTAATGATTTTTTGTTAAATGTAATGAATAAATAAATAGAGTTGTTGCCATTGCAGAAGTATTGTTTCATTTGGTACTTTAGTTTCAGGCTCCTTTGTTGTGTTTCAGATTATATGACTTGTTTTAAACAGAGGAATGAACAAAAGTTCAGAGGGATGTTAGAGACTGGGACTTTTGTGAGCATATGGGCCCGAGTCTCATTTATATGAAGGCAACTTTACACTGTTCTGGAAGCAAGTAAAATTGATTCTTCCTGCAAGGCCCTTTCATATGGCTAAAGAAGCATAAAGTTGCCTTAGTGTACTCTGGATTTCATTTGAAATAAAACCTCACGTTGCCAGATTGTCAACAGTTATAAATTGAATGAATGGAGCTACGCTGATCCACATCAGCCAAGAATCTGGACCTAAAAATACATTGTGTTAAAGTTAGGCATATAGCTGATGAGAAATCCCAAATGTAACAGTTAAATATCAATTTTAATGCAAATACAGCAATGATCTTATATATGTTATCATCCTTTGGACATGGCCCTGACTGTTGCCCAGGACTAAACGCTCCCATCGACCTGAGAATTCTATTGCTCAGCACTGTTTAGGATGAATTTAGCTTTTCTAAATAACTGCAGACCTGGTTGCATGTGCAACTCACACTGACATCCATAAGAGCTACAAGCTTATATCAGAGGGCAGAATTCCAGCTACTGCTGTAATCACCCTACTAGTGTTAACTATACAGGAAAACTGGGCTGGCAAGGCCAAAAGGGGATAGAGAGAATTGCCAGAGATCCCAAAGCTGCCAAAGGTTTCACTAGTCAATCTATCTAATCTGCCTGCGTGATGGCAGAAGATCTCACAATATGTTTAACTACTCTCTATAATCCTTACTATATTCAGAAGAGTAAGACACAATTGTGGGCCACTGACATTGGGGTTATATAGTGATAATTGTTTCAGGTATAAAATATGCTGGCATCTTCAAAGGCAGAAAGTGTTACCATGCTCAGTCTTCCTCATGTGCTAAGCAGGGTGAAGAATGCAAGCACGGCAGAGGTAATGCAGATGGGATCCTCTGAAAGATGAGGAGTCACTTCCTTACCTGATGGCTGAAGCAATATTAGGCAGCGATGCAGCAAACACAGGAGTGAGAGTGTGAAAGATTGTGAAATGACAATTAGAGTAAAAGAGAGAGATGTCAACTGTCCAACATGCTTTCATCTTTATAGGGCTCAGAGCTGTCAAAACATAGTCTGCATCTAGTGGAGTCCAGCCCATGATATATCATCCAAGAATGCCGGGTTTTTTTTGAAAATCAGCACTTTTAAATACAGTCTCTCATAAGTTAGCCTTTTACTGCTGAGATACTAAAATGTAGATATTGTTATACCTGCCCTACTTGTCTAGCCCATCTTATGTTTTAGCTCAGCACGCATATTAGAGGATGTGAACAGTGCAAATGACATTGCTTTGTTTTGGCTCATTTCACAGGGGGCAGCACCGTTCCTTGTCTGTGCCACAGCTGGTACAACTGTGCTGGGAGCATTTGATCCTCTGGATAAAGTAGCTGATATCTGTGAAAAATATGGCCTTTGGCTGCATGTGGATGTAAGTTACTTTATATACAGTGAAGTTTGTTAGTATTGCTTCAGCATTGTTCATGCTTTCTTCAGCTGCTGTGATATTTCCATGTACTCAGAAACCAGACGGGAGCTTAATCCCATTTGCCATTCTTTATATGGGTAGCAGAAATGCAGCCAGTTCCTCTGCTAAGTTCTGCTTGCTGAAAACCAGCTAAAAACCTGGTCAAAGTCTTTTTTCAGATTGCCAGATTGTACTTTAAGAATGCTTCTAAACAACTTCCCACTCCTTCCTCCCACCCAAAAGACAAAACAAAACCCCCATGCAGTTTTGAAGAGGAGAATTGTGTAGAAATATTATTTCAAATTCTTTTGACTTCTTAATATGGACTTGACATAACCATAAGTACTGTTAGTTGGGTCAAAGCCTGCTCACAGTTAGACTAGCAAGACTTGTTCATGAGCATTTAGTGGTTTAAATCACTGTTCCTTCTAATCTTTTCCATTCATCTGGATTTTTTACAGCCAGATGCAAAATAGTTGTTTTTAATGTGTGACTATGCACTACCAGTATAAACAACAACCTAGCTATGGTCACTCTGCTAATCAGCTGAGCAGCATTTGAATCTCTTCTGAGTGGCTGCACAAGCTCACAGCTTACAGGGAACACTGGTCTAAATGAGAGCAGAATCTACCTTCATAGCAATAAATTGCTTTCTCACATTTGTGGATTTGGCTTTCTTGTTGACCCACTCATGTTTTCCAGGACTGCTCAAAATAAAAAGTTCCCTAACCCTTTTTTGTAATGTGGATAAGGTTTTAATTTTATACAAATAAAAGGCAGGAAAGTTGAATTTATTATCCCTGTCTTGAGTAACCATGGTACTTGTATGAACATGAAGATATGTTTTTTTTTATTTTAAATTTTAAAATTGTTTAAAATTAAATCTTGTAGGCCAAATTCTGCTGGTTAATTAAGCTAGTATAAATACAGCATAATTTGAAGACTTTTGGTGTTACTCAAGATTTATCTTGTTGTAGTCAGAGGAAAATCTGGATCTGGGTTTATAGGAGAGATTTCATTTTGTTTTTTTTTTTTCATGTTGAACATTTTAACTTTTTTGCAATGGAAATGCCCTGAGTTTTAAATAGAAACTTTTTTTATTTACCCTCATCATGCTTCCATTTGGATCTGTGAGTTTTGTCATTGATTTGATGGATAGATCCTCTCATTTTCATATAAGAGCTGGACAAATGGCATGGTTAGGTCATTGCTTACCAGCAAGGGTGCCATTTCAGGAGGGTAGAGTGGGCAGCAGCCGTGCACTCCGGGATGTGGCTTGCTTTTCATCCCATTCCCTGGACTATCAAGGAGTGAGGGGGAAATTATTTGAATTCCATGCGTGCTTCTCGCATTTAGCTAGTGAGTTCCCTTCACCAGCCAGGTGTGAGAGGCATGCACAGAATGCAAGTACCATTCCCTCACTCCCTGATTGGGGAATGGGATGAAAAGCAAGCCACATCCTGGAGCGTGTGGCTGCTGCCCCCTACCCTCCTGAAATGGCGCCGTTGCTTATCAAGTCTAATTTTTTTATCTGATAATAGTCCTAGGCCTGTGGTTAAATTGCAGTCTGGGAAATACTTGCTAATGGCCTGCAGAGAGCTAGTTTTCCTTTTTTTCCAGCTGCTAAATATTGTTGGGAAGCTAAAAATAATTTAATATTAGAAAAATTACTTTTCCATGCATGCAATTTCTGTATTTGCTATAAGGATATTACTTGATTTCTAGAAGCAGGGGTGGTGTCCTACACAAAAGGATATGTGTCAGTGCAACATCTTATCTATTAAGATGTGGTTCATATTACGAGAGAATTTGAAAATTCTTATTGTAGGCTAGTAGTTGGGCTTTGGTATATTTAAGCTTTTGTCAGTGGGTATTTGTGTATGCATGTAGAGGGTCCGTAACCTTATATTTTATTATTTTGTATAGCTATGTATATCCATTCAAGCTCAGTAATGTGGAGTGAGTGTTCTTGTAAATGGAGAAAAGATCTCAAGGGTTAATCATAATATAATCAATGATGAATATAAGAAAGAGAAAACAGGTAAACACAGGAACTGTGGTCCAGAAATAATCTTCAGAAGTTATGGTGATCAGAGGCCATTCCAAAAAGAAACAGCAACTACACTGAAAATAGTGTTTGAAAGCTAAAAGCCCACTTCTGTGCTGATACAGTGGTTATCAAGAGAACACCTAATTTGGGCCTGTATCATTTTGGAAAAAGAAAAAGAACAATTAAAATCAAATGATGTTGAGTAGGTGTAAGTGCTGTACATAGTAGGGCCATATTTTGATGTCAGTTACACTGGTCAGAGTCTGCTGGCTTCAGCCCCAGAGTTATTAATCAAGCTTTCTAAAACTGAAATCAGCAGAATTATTCCAGATTTACACTGGTGTAACTCATTTTCAAATGTTGCCCCATGTCAAACAGTACTAAGGCAGTTTTCAAATATCTAACTGCTATTAAGCAGCTTCAGGGGGTAGCCAAGTTAGTCTGTACAGGAAAAAACAACAAATGGTCTGGTAGCACTTTATAGACTAACAAAACATGTAGATGGTATCATGAGCTTTTCTGGGCACAGCACACTTCTTTAAATGACTGGAGTTTGGAGTTTAGGATGTGCAGACCCAAAATAAATAGGAGAGAAGGTATGGGGAAACAGGGAGCAGAGGGTATGGAAAATCAAAGGGAAAAACAGGAAGGTAGAGCTGGGAATCAATAAGCACCTGAAGATTGGGTAGTTAAAACGAAGCAGATAAGAATCAAAGTCAATAGATAGTACCCTTCCTAACACAGGAATCTACACAAAGAGCTGTTTGCACCTTCATTGAATGTTAGGTTGATAGTGTCCCAACCATCCCTCATCACAATTGAGTCCATTAGCATGAGAATTGAATTTGCGGATGAATTGTAATTCCAATGCCTCTCTGTGTATTTGGCAAACCATGAACCGCAATCAAATGGCCCGCTGGCCTCATGTGCCCACAGGCCGCATGTTGAGTAGGTCTGATTTAGATTGTGCTTGGTCCAGCCGTGAGGTCAGGGCACTGGACTCGATGACCTCTCGAGGTCCCTTCCAGTTCTGGTAGTCTAAGATTCTAAGGAGATGCCTTTTTGTATATTATTTTGCTAAATATATGTGAAAAATCACAACACTTTGCATTATAAATTTGTGTTCATAGATGCAGAATTTTGTGGGGTTGTTTGTATGTGGATTTTTTTATTTCAAGGGGTAGCTTGTGGATTATGAAGTGCAGAGTCTAATGTGGTGATCTTTTTGTCTTTGTCTAAAGAAAAAACAAAAGCTCAGTTTGTTGTTGCATACATAGTTAAAGTTATATTGTCTTAGAACCTGTCTGACTTCTATTGAAATTAATGGGAGCTTTTCTGTTGACTTTAATGGGTGATGGATCAGTGAGTGGGCATTGAGCATAAATGAAGTCTATTTGCAGCTTTTCCATAGAATTGCTGTGTGATCTTGAGCCTTGGAAAACTTGGGTTTAATTCCGTTTTACTGAAGAATTACTGCATGGTTTGGGGCAATTCACTTTTTCCCTTGGAGCCTCAGTTCCCCATCTGTAAAATGGGAATAATAGTACTCCCTTACTTCACAGGGGTTTTCTGGAGACAAATACATAATACTGTATGGACTCACACATAGGCACTTATATGGCCTACTTTACTGCAGTAAGACATTATTTTAACCTTTCATTCCCTCGTGTGCCTTTACTACTCCTATCTCTCAGTTATGGCAAATACTATTCCTAGCCTTTTGCTTCTGAAACAGATACTGATACAGATAAATTATAGACCAACTGATACTGCTACCACAGTGCAGCTGCTTTGCTGAATACTGCATTTCCCATACTTGCATCCTGAGAACTCGGATCTGGTATTTCTACTTTATCACCCTTACATTAATGGACAGTGGATGATCAGTGTGATGGGTTCCCTTGGGGTGCCACTTGGAACTGGGGTACCACTGAGGCCCCCAACCTACTAGCCTGGGATCCCTTTACACTGTATTGCCGTGACCAGCCTGCTAAGCCTTCTCCCACCTTGCACTTTACCAGTAAACATAAAGGTAGGGACATACCCAGCTGCAGCTACAGACATGCTGTGAAGCTAGCACTGCATGGAAGGCACAGCTAGGGCACATCACAGTTCAAGGCATGCACTCCCTTCTGGAGGGTAAACTCAGAATTATATCATCTTGCACCGTGCAGAGAAATGTACAGCGTAAGTTCATGAAATTTGCCCCTTCCCTCAATTGGAGAAGAGGCAGAAAGCTGTTTTATGTCTAAGTTATGACTCAGACACTGGTTTTAGAAAAAACAAAAAACACATGTATTAACTGCAAAAGATAGATTTTAAGTGGTTATAAGGGCTAGCCAACAGATCAAAGCAATTTACCTAACAAATGAACAAAAACACAATGTAAACTTAATATACTGAAGAGATCGAATATGAGTAGCAAATTCTCCTCATAAATAATGATTTAAGCTGGCTTCAGGCTCTTACGGGGCAAGCTTCACTTGCTTGCAGCTTAAAACTCCCAGTTATTCCTTTCATGGGCTAGAAACCTCTGGGTCAAGCACATCCCCTTAGTTCAGTCCTTCTTCCTCAGGTGTTTCTCAGGCCCTCCTTTGAGCAGAGAGTTAGCCATGACAGTGTCACTCTCCTGCCTTAAATAACTTTCATATGGAGGAAACCCTTTCTGTCCAGGGAAGAACACTGGTATTCAAAGATGGAGTCCAGTATCAGGTGATCTGGTCACATGACACTAGTGTCACAGCTGCTGTGTACATTTTGACACAAACATTCTGCATATGCTTTTAAAACCATTTGGATCCCAATCCTGCAATGGGTTCTGCATGAATGGGTCCCTGTACCAGTGAAGTTCCCTGCTCAAGTCCCTGGTTTGCTCAAACATTGGGACTACCAGCCTGGAGCAATTTGCAGGATTAAGGCCTTCAGCATTTGAACCCTTTTCTTTTTTGCTAGTAATAATTTCTTATGAAAGTCTTTGAGCACATTATGTGATATGTGTTCCAAAATCTCCCTTTCCGTGCATAGCTGAATAGAAAGTAGGAATGTTAATGGTTAAGTGGTGGGGGCTAGAGCAGTTCCCCACCCAGATCGGGCAGGATTCTACTCCAGCTCTGCGGAGCCCACTGTTGGTGGGGAGCACTCCAGCCTGGTCATGGGGGGCCCCCACGTTGGCCCCGTTTAATCAGTTAACTGGTTAAGCTTAATGTCTAACTCGTTAATTAATTAAATGGGATTTTACATCCCTAACAAACTCTTCATTAATGTTTGAGACTTATGGATTCAATGCAGCTATTAGGTAGCGTGCGTGTGTGTGTGTGTGTGTGTGTGCGTGCGTGCACGCCTAATCCTGCTCACATGGAATCCATGTTAAAAATTCCATTGATTTCAGAAATGCAACATCTGACCTTCGGTGCTGCTGTCACATACTCATAGACATTATAATCCATAGTAAAAGTCAATGGTCCAAATTTTGGGCCTGACTCTGCAACTTACATAGAGTAGCCTTTACTTGAGAGAGTATTGTCATTGAGGTCAATGGGCTACTCAGGTGAGAGCTACAGAGTGAGAGAGATGACCAGAATTCAGCCCTCTTCTACACCAGTGCAGCCAATCAGATTTCACCATAGTTGCATTGATGTTATTGCCAATGTTCCCTCTAATCTTTTCCATCCATGTGCAAAATAAATTATGTGCACCAGGGCAGGTGTGAATGTGCACCACAAGTAGAAACAAAACCTAGCTGTGGGCACTCTGCTAATTAGCTGGGCAGCACTGGGCAGAATCTCTCCTGAGTGGCTGCACAAGCATACCGCTTACAGGGAACTCTGGTCACTGAGTACAGAATTTGGCACTGTGAGCACGGATCACACGCTTATAAAACAAAGTATTGCTTTTGAATACGATGGATTATTGAGGCTTTAGAAAATAATGCTGTGGGAGTACTTATAGAACCTTTGAATATAGAAATAACATTGTCTTGGTTATATAAATATCTCAACAGGCATCTTGGGGTGGTTCAGCTTTGATGTCAAGGAAGCATCGCAAGCTTCTACAAGGCATTCACAGGTAAGTAGTTTAATGGCTCATGGGAGCAGCTAGGAAGGGTGTTAATTGGGAAAGGGCACTTTATAAGAATCTCTTTAAAGTTCATATGCTCAAAGTATTGTTTTTAATTGAAGATACCACAGAATTTATAGTAGGGGAATTCAGAAATTATACAAGCATTTGTACTGTCTACTACTGTGATTATAGGGTAATCGTTTGTTTTGTCTCTTTGCTTAATTCTCCAGGGCTGATTCTGTTGCCTGGAATCCCCATAAAATGCTGATGGCAGGAATCCAGTGCTGTGCTCTTCTGGTGAAAGACAATTCTGTAAGTCCTCCTGTTATTGCTAGCAGTTTAAAGTTGTGGTATATCATTGGCGTGTTATGGAAGTGGAGATCATTAGAAAGCAATTGCAAGTTATTTTTACTACACACTTCAGTGCAATGTAGAGAGCTGTAAAAATGTATACAATATCACAAAGACATTGATAAAGGACAAATACATGATATGGGACCAAATTCACCCATAATCCTAATCTTAGCATTATAGCAGGATTTGAGTTTTGCATGCTGTGTTCCTGTAGCTTATTTGATTTAGATCATTAATTAGGCTGCCTAGTCACACAGACACGTGATGAAGTGGTGTCCAGCACTTGGAGACTGATCTTGTGCCCATCCAAGTCCATGGCAACATTTTCATCCATTTAGGTGGGAGCAGTATTGAGTCTTTAGGTAGCATTCATTAAACAAGGGGCTTCAAATCTGGCCCACCAAATCCTCTGGGCTGCCAGTATCCTGCGGCCCAGCAGGACCCTTGAGGAGGTTCCCTGCCTGCTGTGGCCTGCATGCTGCTCAAAGCAGCCAGCTGCTGGTGCCAAAATGTGTGTCTGCACAGTGCATGCCCCATAGGGGGTGGGGGAATGTTTGTGAGCTGCCCCCACCTCCCGCGCAGTCCTCACAGCTCCCATTGGCTGGTTTCCAGCCAACAGGAGCTATTTGGTCTGCGCTTGCAGGTGTGAGCAGCTCAAAGAGCCCCCTCCCTTGGCATGCTGTGCAGACTCGCACAGATTGGCCCCAGCAGCTGGCCGCTTTGAGCAGTGTGCGAGGTGCAGAAGGCAGGGAGCCTCCCCAAGGGTCCTGCTGGGCTGTTGGCCAGGAGCCACCTAGGTTAGTGCTTCCCAGTGAGAGCCTGGTCGCAACCCAAACCTTTTGCACTCCTTGAACTGGTCACAGCTACCTCTGCTCCCCAATTACTTGCCCCAGGTCACAACCCCACTTTCACCCAAATTCCTTCCTAGACCCCACGTCCCTCCTGCATCCCTCCAGTCCTCTAGCTGAGCTCCTTTCTGCACCCAACTTCCATTCCAGACTCTGCATCCCGTCCATAGAAAAGTGTGGCCCTTGACTATTTACCAAATCTTGGAGTGCTCTCCCCCCCCAAAAATGATTGTCCACTCGTGCACTAAACAGTTAGGGTTAAATGTTTCATTACTTTGAACTAAATGTTAGCTTGACTTTTACAACCACTGTTCCTTTGCCTCTCCCCAGTGTTCACTGCACTGTGCCGGCATGTTTCTTTCATCCCTCCCATACCTTCCATAGGATTTTTTTTTTCTCTGCCTGCCTGTCCCACAAATGTGCGATAGTGCATAAATATCAGCTGGCAGATGACTTAGTTTATACTGTACTCTTACAAATTGACCTGAGGTGCTGAATTCAGCAGAGTTACTTTAGCACATTGCACCAGTACATCAGCAGGATATGTAGATGGAAAAGAGATGGCACGCTGCTGGTATTTTTTGAGGAGGGATGGGTGGGCCATCCCTCTCTTGTTTCTGCTTGCATATACCGATGGAGTGAAGTATGTTCCATTTTTTCCACCCATGACTTCATCAATCTCTTTTCACGAGTATCCTTCCTGGGAATTAGCATTTACTCCAAGTAGATAGGGCTACTTTTCAAACACCTACTGGGTATGCAGTCTGAAGTATTCAATTATGAGGCTGTTCGGTTCTGGTTATAGCAATATCTCAAGTGACCTTCCATGGCTTGCAATAAGATTACACAGCATGTTAGGCCTTTTTGTGATAGACATAATTATTCCCCTTAGGAAAGAATAGCATGAGGGGAACTAATATCCTCTGATACTCTCTGTCAGAGAGCAGGATGTGGGTGATTGTGCCTGGTGGCTAGAGCAGGAGTGAGCCCTGCTGGTTACAGCAGGAGTCAGAAGTCAGTAATTGGAGCCATGGGCCAATTACCTGGAGACAGGTTACATGGAGTGAGGCAAAGCAGCAGCAGGAGCAATCCCAGTCATGCTTTAACAGCCACCAAACTGCTGCTGCTGCTGCATTTCAGAGGTGATCTGCGGACTCTTATTGCCAATCAGACAGCCTACCCCTAGCCTTAGATTGCCTGGAGACTGGCTCTGCTGCAGGTCCTGATTCCAAACGCCCTCTGCAATGCAGCTACGTTATATTTTCATAGTTCTGTGTCAAACCCTGTTCCACTCTCACAACTGAAACACTGTGCAGAGTTGTGATGCGTAGTTCATAAGAGCCAAAGCAAACAACATACCTTTTTTTTTAAAAAAAAAAAATATCACCACTTCTTTTTCAAACTGTAGCACTGCACATTTGCTAGCAGACATAAATTTCCGCTTATGAGAGCTAGCTTTTTTTCTCTCTTCAAAACTGACTTCATGTGATACAATGCTTGTATAGGTAGACTACTGTAGCTGATGTGGGGAGACTGGAAAATGCTCAATGTCTGATCTTTTGTTTGATTTGAGAGTCCACCTTCTTGCCTTTGTCACCATGACTTCCAGTCTCCTAAAAGGACAAAGAGGATGCTTTCTTAAATCTTACAAATCTAGGGCCCAATTATGGTTTTCCAGATACTGCTCCAATTGTGGGTATGGAGTAGAAGCATTACGGTTCTGAGGAGTGCATGGAGGAGAACAGCAAAG